CTGCAGCATTCTGAAACTTTTGAATTCTTGCTTCTTCTTTGGTAATTCCTTTAAGAAGTCTGAAGAAGTTAAAAAATCTTGGTCGCTTTCCAGGGAAAATCCTGGTAATTGGTAAAAGTGCTTTTCTTTCTCTGAGACAATACTCTGTGCTAGCTTTAAATCTGGTGGGGTTTGTATTTACATTTAGCTGGAGACCATCACAGTAATTCAGCCTGACCCTAGTGTGTTTTCCCCAAAAATAGGCAACATTCTTATGAGGGAGGGGTTGAGAGTTCAGAAAGTTTATGTACAAACAGTTCAATTAATGTCAAGAGTATGTAATGTTTCATACTCAGAAAGGGAAAGTTTATACACTTAGTAAAAGAAGTTTATTGAACTTAATTTTGCCCTCTTTGCTGACACTTCGGTAGAAGAGTTCTTCATTGCTGCCACAACTTTGAACTGGGGAGCTTCATTAATCGAAGCAGAGGCCCCTGTGAAACAAGCCAGTCACTGCCCTATCTTCTGTACCATGTTGGAGCAGCAGCCTGAATGGATGGTTGCAGTGAAAAGAAATAAATTGCTGTGTCACAGGTCTCCAATGATAGCTTTCTTAGCTTGTTGCCTGTGGAAGGGATTTGGGGCTCTTGGCACTGGTGGTAAAAGAGAGAAAAAGCATCAGTCTGCTTACCAAGCAAATATTATGGAATGGAGAGGAGAAAATGCAGCAGAATTTCTTAGTGACTGAAGTATTATAGCCATACTATACCCAGTTATAATTATTTATTTATTTAATTCATATTTTATTTATTTATGCATAACATATTTTTTCATTTAACAAGGTTATTGAGATATGTATCATTTTACCTGCATTTTGAGATAACAAAGATTGCCATAAATCATACCATCCTGTCTTTGCTTGATCTGTTGGTGTACATGATTTATGTTACATTGCTATTAAATTTTTATTTGGACCTTACTGTACACTTCCATCACCTCACATTCAGAAGTAGGTAATGGGGCTGTCATTTTAGTAGATCTGCACGTGGGAATAGTTGGTAGTTTGCAGTGCTCCCTCCCCTAGTGACCTTCTAATGTAAATAACTGATGTAGCAGTTAATAGGATACTTTTAGCAATTCAATCCCAGTATTTTCTACTGTGGTTCCTCACATGCTTGAATTCTGAATACCTCAAGACCTTGAAGAAATTTATAAAGCAATAGTGGTCTTTATCATCTTGAGTGATACATTTTACATGTTTCATGGATTTTGTTACTTGAAAAATACCTGGATATTCCTCTTGTGTTTGGTCCCAAGTTCAGAATGAATCACAAGTATTGGAAATCAATAATCTATATAACAGGAATGAAATGGCATCTGCTTTCAAAAACATTTCAGTCACCTATTTAGATTAGTCTCAACTGGGAATGTTAGATATTAATGTTAGATTTTGTAACTTGTTTGCTGTGAATTTAATAGGATGTACATTCATCTCTGTGAGCATGCACAGTTAATGATGAAATAACAGTCCTTTCCTAGGTAGTATACAGGAGGATGAAATTACTTACCAGTGTAGCTTAGGCACTTCTGAAAATGTAAATATGCCTTATTCTGGATGTCTCAGGTATTATTAAAATGAAAGCAGTAAAGAGAAGGGAAGAAAGAGGGGATGGAAGACCAGGATTTATAGGTCATGCTGATTTTTCTTTTAAAAAATACAAAACAAGCTGTACTAACACACCTAAAATAGATTGTTCACTGTCAAAAGCCTGTGCAAATAATTGGGATTTGACAGTAATTTCAAACAAGTTGCCATTGTACGAACATCAGGCAAGTTTCTTTGTCTAGATACTAATTTCTTGCCCTTTTTAAGTCCTACCAGGTTACAGACAAGAGATGATGTGAACTGAATAGCTGCAACATCTTCCCTTTGTGAACAGAAGTAATTAGGGATACACTGAAATTCAGAAGAAATTACATACAGTACTACCTTTTGGTGATGATTCTACCTGGCTTCTTTATTCTGCAGTCATCTGCTATTGACTTCAGCTAACATTTCTCAGAAATCTCTCTGCTCCTCAATCCTGCTGCATCATCAAATTGAAATACAGAAATAAAACACTCTTGTCCAAATTTAGGCAGATGGACAGGTAGCATTATCTAATTGCTCTACTTTACTGCAACAAACTCAGGAGTCCTGATTCCACTGGGAGATAGAGATGTTGGATATAATAGTGATTTCTTCAGTGTCAGAATGCTGATTGTAAAGAAATGCTCCCTTTTGGATAATGATATATATCACAATGCAAAAGTGGATTGATTTTTACTCTTGAGATTAATTATTATGAGAAATAGGCCTTGATGTAGTTTCCACTGAAACAATGACTGAATTCTCATTGACTTCAGAATAAAAATAGTTGGACCACACATGCTTAGTTTTACTGTTTTGGAAATATGTTTCTTATTAGAAAGTATTTCCTTTTGTTAATAATATTTATGGAGACAAAGGAACTGGGAGAGTAGCTAATAATTGGCTAAAGGTGATACTTTTCATAATGAAGTAGATAATTCTTATATTTAATATTAGAGTGGGACAAAGAATGGGCAAAGGACAGAGGAAAGCTAATAGCGTTTCCTATGAGCCTTATGCAGTCTACACCACTCATGAGCTCCACACAGCTAATTTGTTGAGAGGGCTCTTCCAAGTGGGGATCTATTTCCCAAAACAATTTTTATGGATGGGAGTCAGTAATAATATTTAAAGCAAATGGACTATATCCTTATTCAATGGATATGCTCATGTGGAATCTTCACAGCAGACTTAGATGGCTCACAACTTAGGAAATCAAATTACTTCCAGGGTAATTGGAAATTTTAATAGAAAAAATTCCACATTCCATAAGCTGTGAAGCTGTGGTGGTGGGACCGTGGAAGAGAAAGCTCCCCTGTAAAGTCTCTTGCTGCCTGGCTTTTCATGTTATGGTGGCACTGCAGTAGCATTATGTTCCAAGGTAGAACACAGGCATCTATATCCCATCACAGCATATTCTCTCTCAGGCATATCCTGACCTAAGCAAAGGAAGTCGTTTCACTGGCAGTGTGAAATTTCCCCAGTGACATAGTTTGTCTCTGGCTTACATTTGCATTCCAACATGAGGAATGTTTCTTCTAAAAGACTGGGGGTAGTTGGTGAAGCCAAACCTATTTCAGTCTCTCCATTCCTCTTCCTACTCTTAGTAGGTGCTGTGGCCGAAGAAAGCAGGGACTACTATTTCAAAGTCTGCTTTTATTAGACAGGAACTGAAAGGAGAGGAGAGGAGAGGAGAGGAGAGGAGAGGAGAGGAGAGGAGAGGAGAGGAGAGGAGAAAGGATTAAAACAGTGTGGCTGTGTTGCACACAGCAGCTTAGAGGATGTGATGCTGATTTACACTAGCTGAGAATCTGGCATCCAGTGCATTTGGGAAAGAAAATGTACAATGGCATTAAAACCCACCAAATTTATTCTTTACTATATCAGCTTGGTGCTTTAATGCCACTCCAGCGGACCAGGAAAGGATAGTTCCATTTTAACATTTTATAGCTTCTTCAAGAAAAATAAGCAACACGGAAAATTAGCAGCCAGAAATCAAACAAAGCAGCTGAATTGCAGGGCTTTAATTTCTCTTAGTGATGCATTTCTGGAAAACAGGTTTTTTTTACTGGTCATGGAAATTGAATCATATATTTGATGGTTTGTATTCTGCTTTTGTTGTCTACTCTTCATTTTTTGGCTTCATATTATTTAATTTCTGCTAGTGTTATTTCTGAAGAGAACAGAATGAACTGAGGGCCTCACACCTACATATCCAGGTCTTTTATCAGTGTTTTTTAATGACTAGTACTCTGCTATAAGCCTTCTAAATTTAAAATTGTCAGTTCCCTCCCCAGTCCTGGATGCATGTACATATACAAATATATATATACGTCTGTATATACATAAATGTATATATATGAGAAATTCTTTGGCACTGGTTAAGGATGAGACCAGTAGGATTGTTTACAGAAGGCGTTCTAACCCTTTATGGGTTTAATAAGGAAAGTTTTCATTTGTAGAAGATGGAAGTGATGGAAAGTTGTGTTTTCTTTAAACATCTAGAATTTAGTAGAACTCCAGTTCTCTCTAGTAGCTTCAGTAGAGTCATCAAAAAACTAGAATATTTTATTCTCTTAAGGCCAGCCTTAGGCATTTTCTGTGAGGGATGAGCATGACTACTTGGTGATTTTCTCAGCAGCTTTCAAGATGGAATATGAGTAGAAAAGCCCTTTGGATTTCCAGAAACCCATACAGATGAAATTGCTCATCTGACTTCACTTCTGCCCTAGATTTCAGATAATTTGGACAACTATCATGATTTTCACCCCTTACTAAAAAAGCTAGTTAGGTCTTTTTCTATCACTTACTCACTGTTGTCATACCGAGTAGTTCACCAACTTTGGAGCAGTAGAACAAATTAGGAAAATGCCATTATTTTCTACTTTGTAAGTGAGGAACCAAGGTACTGAGAAATAAAAAGCTTAAAAAAGATCTTCATCAAGATCTACAGGATGTTGAGACAGCGTCGAATGCGGACATTGAGATATGCAGGGTTGAACTGCTGAAAATACTGCGATTGAACTTCCAGGATTTCTAACTGCAGTGAATTAGCAAAGGCATATTATAAAATGTTTTCCATATATCATGGGGAATCCTAAACTCTGTGTCAGTGGAGCACTGACTGAAATAAGAAAGTCCCAGACATGTGTGCAACTGTTTTCCAATGCCTTGTGATTGACTTTGTTGTGAAAACAAAATTGTGCATGTGGCAGTCTATTGCTCTGCTTTATCACATGTAAGGCAGATGGAACAGGATATTAACTGTTATTTTAACTGTCTTTTTTATCAAAGCTAAGGTAATAATTTACTTGCAGGTGGGAGGAAGAAGCGACACATGGAGGGCATGTCCTGCTCTTGTACTCATGGTTTCCTCTCTTTTCCTTTGCAGTGAGTATGTTCTTGAACACATTAACCCCCAAGTTCTATGTTGCCCTGACAGGCACATCCTCATTAATCTCAGGACTTATTTTGGTAAGTACTACATCTATTAATATCAGATTAATAATTTTTTTTTTTTATATCCAGAATTGTATTTCAGACTTCATGCAGATTAATAGGTATCTTTTTTGCTTCTGTAAGTTTACAGTTCTGCAGCATATAAAATTTGTCTTTATTTGTATGTCTCTTTCTGTGGAAATGAAAACGAAAAAAAAAGTGTTTCAGTGCTGTATCTTTGAAGATAAAAAAAGTCTTGAAGAACAATGTGACTCACTAACAACCCTACAGTAATTCTTAATGAGTGTTTGCAAATTAAGTGCTTTCCTTGACAAGTACTACTGAAATGAAAAAGGCCAATAAAAGGAAGAGGAGGAAAGGTACCAACTATCTCAGTGCAGCATGGTCCTTTCTGAAAGATACAGCAGGACTTACTAGAGAAACACCAGTTCTGGTGCCAGGATTCCAAGGGATAATTATTTCAGATCTTCACTTCTAGAATCTTTCCCAGTACATAGCTGCCTATTTGCTTAAATGTCAGTATTTTTAAACCATTTAAAAACCCTCCTCCCATATGTAATTCTTGAGGGCTTCTTTATGCAAATTGATGCAGTGGAGTGAATCATAATACCATCACAATGCAGGAGTCCAAAGCAGAGCATTTTCTCTGAATTTTATTAATATCTTCATAGAAACAAATGGAGATTAAAAATATAGGAATTAACATGGTGTACATATGTGTATGTGGTCTCTTTTTGTTTCTTCAGTGCTGAGAGCTGGCTTACTGCTTACACAAATGAATAGTATAGCATAACACAGAACAGATCAGAATGATCCTCTAGTCCAGCTGCCTGATGACTTCAGGGCTGACCAAAAGTTAAAACATGTTATTGAGGCCATTCTGCAAATACCTCCTAAGCACTGACAGGCTTGGGGCATCCACCACCTCTCAAGGAATCCTGTGTTTGACCACTTTCTCAGTGAAGATATTCTTCCTAATGTTCAGTCTTATCCTCCCATCACAGCTTTGAACCATTCCCATGAGACCTGTCTCTAGATGGCCAGAAGAAGTGATCAGCCCCTCCCTCTCCACTTCCATTCCTCAGGGAATGGCTGCCTTTGTTTCAGTCTTGTTTTTTCAAGTTATACACTTTTAAAATCTGCTGGATGCAAGCTGTAGACACTCACCACACCAAACTAGGCATGTAACTAGGGGACCAGTGAGACCAAGTGTCAGCTATTGTAGTGATAAGTGGAAAGAGGAGTGAGAGAGAAACATGGCTAGAGGCTGGTTCACATCACCCCAGATCTACTAATCTCAGAGAAACCTGAAAGCAGCTAGGATCCTAAAAGAACACTATCAGTTTGGTTTGGGAAATCTGCACCTCTCACTTCCACATTGCCTGTAGCCAATGTAGATAAACAAATGGCATCCTTGACTGCTTAATGCCTGTGAGACTCTCATCACTTAGATGACTTCAGGTAAAGGAGCAGGTGCTGCTCCTGTGCAGCAGCACTGCTGCTGTGCCTTGCTCTGAGTTTCCTCATAGTGGAAGGCAATTACCTAATGTTTGCACCTTGGGCATTCATCAGTCTTGTATGGATTGAGCCCCAAAGCACTCAGCGGAGCTCCAGAGAGATCAACAGAACTTTCAGAGTATGAGCAAGAGCCAGACCTGTAAGACTTGGATTCAGTTCAGCAGAACTCACTCCAATGCACAGGAGGAAAATAATGTTAGATGCAGCATTGTCACTCAGAAAGAAGAAAATGCTGGGCACCACCACCAAGATGAGAAGGATTGAGAGAGATAACATGAGTTTCACAGACACAGTTCTGTATTTGTTGCTACAGGCTGAAGAGAGCAGGAGGAGGTGGCAAGACAAAGACAGTTTATTTTTTGCCCTATTGAATTACATTACAGAATCAAACAGGCATAAAAACTTTGAAGAGTGACTAATTTATGTGGAACTAAATTCATCATTGTAAATGTAGGTACATTTTATACTGTACTCATAAAGGCAATTTCTGAGGAATGAGCTCAGCAGGCAACTTGTGAGCAAGAAATTTTTAACTGCTGTATTTTGATGGGAAGTACAAGAAGGAAGTGGCAAGAAGTACTCAAGACTATGATATGGAGGAAGGGCAAAAGGACACCAATAGAATCATTTCACAAAGAAATCAGATTGAGCCTTAATCAAAAGAAGCCACTTAGTATTACATGAGAAAGTCCATTATGAACAAGTTGAAAAAACACAGGTGATGGAGGTGTAGACACAGAAATCAGACTGAAAGCCTTTTTTGTTTGTTTGGTTTTTGTATCTTCAGTACTGCTATCAGTGCTGTTCATATGGCACCTTCCTAAATGTGATAAACATATATAGGCCAGACAGGTAACAGCCAGGAACCCTGGATTGTGGGGACCGCTGTCAGTGGTGAGACAAACATGTTTTCTGTAGATTTGATAATGGCAAAAGAACAAAGCAGATGTGGTCGTGAAAAGAAGAAACTGCAAGTAGACCAGATCACATATAGAAAAGGCAACTGATTAAGTTCTAGTGAGGTAGTGCTAGCTTGTCATTAGCCCAAGTGTGCTTCAGATTAAATATTCCCTAATCTTGCTGTTTACCAGTGGCCCAGTTTTACGTGCTGTTTACCATGACCAGTAACATGGTGAATTGCCTGCAATGCCACACACTTACATCAGACTACACAGCATCATCAGTTCTAAAGGATTCTTAGTCCTGTTAATGGTATAAAGTGAAGTTCTTACATAAAATAAAAATTGTCTTGTCAAAGCTACATCACTGGGGTATTTCTTAGGCTAGATTTACTATTATTGCTTGGAATTTTCCACCATATGGGCTGGCAGATTTCATTCTATTATCAGTTGGCTCCAGTTCCTAATCAGAAGGAGAAATCACAGCACCACAGGTTATGAAACAATGGAAAATTCCATCATTTCAGAAGTGTGGTAACTGATGGGAAAGTGATTGCTTTTCCTAACTCATGTTTGGGTCATGAAACAATGACTGCAGAGTTCAGCTTTGGGCAATTGAATGCTACATTACTCCTTTGCAAAACACTACACTCCTCTCTTATTTTTTCTCATACTTTGTTTTAATTCTTTAGGTAAAATTCTGGCCTCACTGCAGGCAATGTGACTTAATTAAAGCAAGGATTTCAGACCTTTTTTCTTATAAGTCAGAACTGTGCAGAACATACTTTTCTATCTCAGGCATTTTCCTTAACAATTACTTGACTACAGCACATAGTTAAAAATTAACAATTAGGCATATATTTACTTCATCCACGTGCTGTTGGAAGCATCAAAAATAAGAAGATTTAGTCCACAGTTGCATTAGAAGTACTGTATTGGAAACTTGGTTCCACCACAGTTACTTTTGCTCCAGTAAAATACAGTGTGCTGTCTCTCAGAATACAATGAACTGCATTGTATTCAGTGTCTGGGAGGCTGAGGTTTTCCACAGGTAGGGTAATAAAACTGTCACAAAACACACCTGACATCCAGTAAATGCTGTGAACTAGAACTATGCAAATGCCACTGAGGTTTCTAAATAAAGCCACATATTTAACATACAGTTATCACCAAAGCTGCTCAGCAAGCATGTGAGGCACTTGCAAAGAGATTGATAGTCTCAGTTCTAACAAAGCACAGGTAGAAGCGAACCTCCGACTTAAATCTCCACAAGAATTCCTCATTATTCTATTTCCAGGCTTGGGAGAGTAGTAAGTGTCTTCTGCTACACAATGAAGAACATTCTGCAATGAACAAATACCAGGTCTTTCAGATGCAAGAATTAGCCAGCCTGCAGAGATAGAGCATGACTAGACACTGCCTAGCAGTGAGCAGCTAGGCTGTTTGCTGATACCTAAGTACGTAGCATGCTGTCAGTCACAGCCTTTTGTAGCCAATGGTACCAGTACAGGAAGTGTGAGGGAGAACCTGAGTAACACAGGACTTATTTTCTGTAGATACTAATTGTTTTACTACCTTTGTGTAGTCTGCTGCAGAGAGCCAGAAAGGTGGCTGAGTTCTGGGTGCTGCCACAGGCTCTGGGAAAGTCTGACAGTTGTGCAGGGACAGTCTTCAAGGACTGAAAAGCAATACATGGTAGCCATTCAAAGTTTCTGCGCTGCTCAGAGAAGACTCAAGGTCAGGAAGGGCAGAATCATTGTAAGGAGTTCCTAAGTGTGGGATCTCAGCCTCTCAGAACTGGGGTGCAGGGTGAACGAGACCACCCCTGGGGGGCTTGGGAGTCCTGGAATGTTGCCAGAAATGTCTGGTGGCTGGACTTTGATCCCACAGGGGAGATGACATCAGTATGAGGACAGGAGGATTTCACTGGGGTGAATGGTGAAGGGAGAAGTTAATTGAAGTGTGAGATACAGGGTTTAAGATCTCTGTACAGGGGGGTCTAGAGAGGTAAGATGGAGGAATTGGGGCGTGCCCTTCTCCTTCTTCTTCTTCCTCTAGGCCTCCATCTTCTGTGGTGGAGTTGGCACTCTGGGATTGGACCTTACTAGGGGAACACTGGTTAATAAGGGTAGAGGGTATTGGAGAAAAATGATAAATGTTGTATACGTAACTCCGGGTATAAAGATAGGTGGCCGCCCCAGGGGCTCTCAGTGTGTGTGCCCATGGCTGACTGCTGAGCAGAACTCTGTCAGGCCAAGAGAAAATCTTTTAGATAAGCAATTAATAAACACCGAGACCGAGAAAAAATCTGAAGTTTCTTCTCGTCCTTTGGAACGCGGGCGACCCAAGGCCATCTTGGGCTTTTCCCAGACCATCTAAACAGCCCCAAAATCCGACACCTAAGAAACTGGAAACGCTTGCCAAGGAGCAGATGAGAGAGGAAGGGTCTATTGGAAGGCAGGCTGTAACCCAGTCCACAGACAAGAAAATGCTGGCAAAACTAGGTGGGATCTACACAGTGTTGAGAGAAGTAACACACTTAATCCAGGCAATATGTTATTTTCTTTTGAGTTTCTGTATATCCAGAGGTGGATCAAGTAAATAGCTATTAATTCTGAATACACTGCCCACTAGCTCTGCATGTATATTCTCCTGCTAACTCTTTGAGATAAGACAAATGGAGGTTCAGTAACCAGGAGCAGTCTAAGAGGATGCTGAGTGGGTATATTTAATTTAGAAAGAAAGGGGATGCTTATCCTTCAAGGCTGTCATCAAGGACACTCAGCATGGTCAGAAGCATGGAGGATCAGGAGTCACTGCCTACCCCTAGCAGCTGAATAAAACAGACCAGCAGCTTGCTTTGTTGGAAGGCAAGAAGCATTGTATAGTCACATTCATATGGGTAAAGACTCTTGCTTCCAAAACATGGATGACCTTTTCCATAGTGTCTACTGGAAACAGCCCCTGGGCTGTAATACACCTGGAACATTTGCAGTCATTGCCTGGGAGAGTTGACACAGGCCAGGTAGTGTGCCAGCAAACAAACAGCATGGATTATTTGAGCCAAGCCTGTGTTGTGGTCCCTTTTATTTATAAAATAGCCTTAACCATGGAACCAAGTCTTGCCAGCACTCTCTTCCTCCAGAGAGTAAGTTTCCTTTAAATCCATTAGATTGGTTAAAGAGTACTCCAGATCTACCCATCTGAGACCTGAAAGTCTCATTACAAGACTGAAAGAGAAATCTGAGCCGTGGAAGATGCCGGCAAATTAAATCCTTTAGTGCTTCTGTTGAAGACTCCATACACGTACACTAGGAGGGGATGACAGGGTGTTTGCTCTAAGAGAGGATGTCTGTCTCAGAAATGAGAAGCAGAAAAGCATAATTCAAATCATGGAGACACATTGCTCCTTGGTCCAGTGCAAACCACCACCAAAACCATCCCTTGTGAATTAATGCATACATAATGGAATATCTGTACTGAAAAACTGTGCAGGAAGATCAGATCTGATAGCCAAGTGATGTGGAATAGATTTGTTGCTACAGAGCTAAATAAAATTATCTGGGATTGTTTGTATGTGAGAGCAGAGATAAGAAAGAGGATGACTATAACATTTTCATTGCACAAGGGAAGAGAAGTGCAATGAAATTACATTTAAGAAGACACCGTTTCCAAAATCAAATACTCTCACATTAAGCAATACCTATACCAGATTAAAAAAATAAAAATTCTAAATTGCACTTAATGCACAAAGCTGGAAATGTTCAGAACAGGGTTGTAACTTGGCCCTTGGGAACATTATGGTCCCAAAAATCCCTTGAGAGTTTGGAGATGTTTTACCCTGTTTCAATTTGAAAGCACAGGCACCAGCTAGAAAGACCCCCAAGCAGTTTGCCACTTCTGTGAAGGGGAGATCTCTGAAGATGAGCTCCCATCTCACTGTATGTGTATGACAGAAATGAGGTGGTTTTTTCTTTCAGAGGTGGTGCAGGAATTACCCTTCTGATAAATTTCCTCTCTACTCCAGATCTCTGTCAGTGAGTAATTAATTCTTATAGTAATTTATTCTATCAGATGATCTCTCATCTGCTGAACTGTCAAAAGATTGACATGTTGACTTCACATGGCTTTCAAACTAGATGATGCAGTTAGAAGTCAAATTTGATTTATAGAAATCAGGTTTCAAACCAGATGATGCTAAGATGCAGAAATTCTCTAAAAATAATTTATTGTTTTGACTTAAGTACCAAATTACAGATTTTACCTCTTCATACACGCTGAACAAATCACTCCAAGCAAAGGCTTGTGATGATGATGATGATGATTTATGGCTTTAATTTCTAAGAGGTGGTATGGATTGATATCTGGCTGATGTTTCCTGGCATTGGATTCACTCAACATAGCAAATATTTTTCAAAGCTGCCCTAAATAATTTATGAGCTTTAATGCCATTTAAAAAAATAATTAATGTATTTTTAAGTCTAAGGAGGCAGACTTACAGCTGTGTCACATGTTTGAGCAAGCTTCTGCCAGTCAGCTGAACTGTAGCAGAGACCACATTTATGTATATGTACTTTCTTTGTGATTGTCCCCTCAGTTTCATTGAAATTCAGTGTGACAGCTTCCCAGCTGGTATACATTTGTGCAGGACAAGTGGGCTCAAGTGTGCTTTTGTGCTGCTCACTCCTTCTCTGGGTTTAGTGACCTCATCTGAAAGCTGATCATGATTAACCTAATGAGCGGGAATTTATTAGCACATTTTGCAAAACCTTTTTTATTTCCTCTCTTAGAGAAAGTACAAAGCTTGTTAGATATGGTCTGAGTTTTGTACAGCCAGTCTGGCAGCTGTACCTGAGTCCCTGACTTAGGCTATAGTGAAATTCTTCCTGAGTGTCCCTTGCCTCAGTGCAGGACTATAATCCTTCATTCCTAGCACACTCTCCCTCTGAGGCTTTGGACAGGTAGAACTGTGGCTTTTGTGCCTTGCTTTGTTCCAAGGTTTTCAAAGACAGAACAGAAACATGTTCACAGCAGATCTATGACTGTGTCTTATGCTGTAGCCTTTCTCTTAAAGTCAGCCACATGCTTATGATGCTCTCTTAAATCATAAGACATAAACTTTAACCCCTTTAAAAAGTGTGGTGTGCCTAAGAGCATGAGAACAGCTAAAAGCAAAGCTGACACACCTGTGCCAGTTCCCTGTCCACCATGTCCAGCATTCAGAGGCAGTGATGCATGCTAGGGGAAGCCTATCAGCAGTGTGGAACAAGTGTTCAGTGACACTGCATCAGCATTCTGTCCTTGGCACTTGGCATTCCCACCTGGCTGCTGCTGCAGGCACATGCCAGTGGAACCAGTGACAAATGCACCTCAGACTCTGTGTAAGGAGGAACTGTCCAGGTTGTGTGGGTTTTTGGTGACTTGGCTGGGAAAGAGTTCACAAAGACCTGAATATGTTAATGCTCTGGTTTCTCTGTGACCATCTGTTTATCTTCTCACATGCTATGTATTCACATAGTCCTTCTGTCTTCTTCCCATCAGACTGCTCCACTCTTTCTTGTTGATGTCTCCCAGAAATGCCATTAGATTATTTTGGGAAGTGATCTCCAGAGCTGCCACACAATCTTGTGTGAACTCATCTCAAGTAGCCACCCTTGAGATGAGTTCACATATTCACACATTCATTCCCTTTCACTCCTGTGCAGATAGAGTCCTTCCATATGAATCCTCTAGATGCTTTAACAACACCTTTAAATCCAGGGGAAGCCTCAGTGCAGAATGTATTGGGAGCATCTTTTGGAGAGAAACATTTTCCCTCTATGTCAGAAATTTTATCTCCCACTTCTTTAAAAAAGGGGTTGGGGTAAAAATTATGTCTTGTCTACAGACAGTCCAATCTCATGGACACAGAAGTAATTTCAGCTATATAAAGACAATCAAGAGAACTGAAAAATTAAAAAAAAAAAAAATTGAAGAAGGAAGTATGTGAAGCCTGGCCTGAACTTTTCTGGAGCAGGCAAACCCCAAAGAGGCCTTCCAGAGCCTGCTATTGACTGACCCACCAAAACCTGCCAAGCAGCACACTGATGGTGACAAAGATGTGAACACAACCCTTTCTCTTATTGTTGTTTGTGCCTAGTAGGAAGAGATTTTATCAAAGCTTTCAGGACTGGTGTAGCACATGGAGATACTGAGGAAAATGGAAGGGCAGAAACTGTTTGTTCCCAATTTTTAGTGCAATCGGTATTGCAAAATCCTGCCAAATTTCTCAAAATTCCTTAGATTTGCTTTTGTTTCCTGTGCTATGTAAATGTTTGGGTGATGATTCAAGTGCAACTTCTCTATTCATTATAAGCATGTGTTTCTTTACAATTTTTACAGTCTAAACTTTTTCCATATTTTTATGAATTATTCTTCATTTTCAGGTTTATGTGGTTTCCTGAAATATGTGTTTTCTTACTGAGTAATATATTTTTTGGTGAAAATACCACAGATACATGTTTATGTGTATAATTCCAATTACAAGGCTGTGAAATTATTTCCCAAATAGCGTTCTGTAAATAATATTTTTTTCTGATTTGCTAGCTCAACTAAATGCCTGAAAATAAAATTAATTCGGAGTCAGCCCAATTTTGCCAAACAAAATAAAACACAGTTCAGCTAAGGGGTGGAAAATCCTAAAAGGAATAGGATTCAGCTGCCTAGAGTTTGTTTGGCATTTTTAACTTTTTAAAATTAAACTAATTGGAAATTAAACTCATTTCAAATTAAATTCTGTGGAAGCATGTACTGGGGAAACAAGCAAGCCTGCTTTTGCTCCCATTGCCTGGCCTGCAGAGGGAGTTGAGGCAAGGCGAGGCAGGCTCTCCCCTGGCTGCAGCATCCATCCTATCGGCGGGGCTGCCATCGGGCCCAGTGGGGGCTTGCGGGGAGAGCTGTATTATAGACGTAAATTTAAAGAAACAGGCCTAACAGCTGAAATAATTTGAGGTTATAGAGGTTATTTGGGTTAAAAAAAATTTAAAAAAAGAGCAACCAAAAAAAAAAACCAACCCAAAAAACATTGCGTTGACATGATTCGAGATTTTCCTCCTAAACTTGGGTCACATTTAACTTCTCCGTGTGCTCGGGCAGGGAGGCCGCGGGGAGGACGCCGCGGGACGGCCGGGGCTGCGTCCTCGCCTGCCGGGCTGCGGCGCAACGCTGAGGGGAGGAGCGGGCGGCGGAGCGGGCTGGAATCGGGGCTCGGGGCGGGCGGAGGAGCGGGCTGCAGTCGGGGCGGAGGCCGGCGGCCCTGACGGCGTGTGTGTGCCTTGCAGATCTTCGAGTGGTGGTACTTCCGCAAGTACGGCACCTCCTTCATCGAGCAGGTCTCGGTGAGCCACCTGCGCCCCCTGCTGGGCGGGGTGGACAACAGCGCGCCCAGCGCCGCCAGCGCCGCGGGCGGGGACGCGGACTCGAACCGCCAGAGCGTCTCAGGTGAGCGGCGCCGGCCCGGCCCGGGCTCCTGCTGCCCGGGGAATGGCACTGCTGCCTCCTCGGTAGCTGCTGATTGCATCCTTCCGAACTCACGGAAGGGTGGTGTGGTGTTCAGGCTGCCTGGTTAATGCATGTGTTTTCTCCGTGTTGAGAAACCCCTGCGAAATAGCCCGTGCTCTTTCTGCAGTGTCCTTTGTCCAGTGGAGGGGCTGCGAAGATGATTAAGGGGATGGAGCATCTCTTACGGGGAAAGGCTGAGGGAGCTGGGCCTGTTCAGCCTGGAGAAGAGACAATGCGGGGAGGCCTTACCCATGTCGGTGTGAAGAGAGGGTGTCAAAGGGATGGAGCTCGGTGGTGCCGAGCTGTAGGACAAAGGGCAATGGGCAGAAACTGGTGCACGGGAAGTTCCACGTGAATATAGGAAAGAACTTCTGTATTGTGCAGGTGACCAAGCACTGGAACAGGTTGCCCAGAGAGGCTGTGGAGTCTCCTTCCCTGGAGATACTCTAGCACCATCTGAATGCAATCCTGTGCCATGTTGAGGTCAGCCACTTTGGTGCCTTCCAACTCAACCAGTTATCTGGTTCTGTTACTCTAAAGGCTGTATTTTTAGTAAAATCATTTAAAGTAATAGCAAAGTTGTTTAAAAAACAAACAGACAAAGAAGTTAGAAATGTTCATCTGGTTTTGCATCACTTTTTTATAAATAAAAAATAAAAACTTACTTTTTGTAAGTAGTATGTAAACATTTGGATTTCGCCTTAGTAAGTGGAAGCATGGTGGCTTTTAACAGCTTAAGGGCTTGTTATGTTCCTGAGTCTGCTACAGATTTACTTTGTGACTTTGGACAAGTCCTAACATAGTCAGGGTTTTTTAAAAGGCCCTCAGTTTAGGAGGCATGCTTTCAGACATCTGTGGCCTGAGTTTTGCAAGCTCCCAGGCATTCACATCCCCTACAAGTTTCAGTGCAAGGAGTGAAGGCTCTGACCCTAAGTCATTCAGGCCTGAGGCACTTTGAGTCAGGTGCCTGGGCGATGGTCCCAGCCTGCCTAAAATGAATCAGCCCCTCAAGCACTGAAATTTGTGGACTGTAGGAGCCACAGAGGAACCTGTCTCCCTAATTGAGTAACTTGGTTGCCTGGGGATTGAAAAATTAGCCCATGAGTGATGAAAATGCTAGTATGCTATTGCTTCTGGCTTGAGTGGGAGGTACTCACTGTTAATGGCAGGGCAGGAGCATCTGGGTTTGTGCTCCTCATCTGTAAAACAAAGCTTATCTGTCTGTCCTAGCTTGGCTTACAGGCCATAATGTTAGGGATGTGCCCCTAGATTCAACCAGAATTTTATTACATTTATTTCATCTGCAGGCTTTTAGAATATATCAGAATTTACAAGTGAAGAAAAGGGAATGAAAAGAAAAAAAATCACTTATGGAGAAAACATTGTTCCACAGTTGAGCTCCCTATGTCTGTACCTGGCAAATTTTATCTCTGCTCCTCAGTGTGCATGAAAACAGGCAAACAAGAATTAGCTCTGAACTTACATGTTAAATAACAGAGGTGGCTTCACAAAACCTTATTATTTACTGAGCATGTCTACTTGAGGAAGCCTCCATGTAGCACAGCAAATTCAGCTGTTGGCATTCTCATCTGAAGAGAGGCTGTGAATAGCAGCAGTGCACGGTCCAGGATATTAGATTTGGGTGAACTGGCAGAAAGCATGGGATGGCTTGGAACCACCTGTGTGCACTCATCAGTGAGCTCAGTCACACTTCAGCAGCTCAAAATAACTCCTGTCATTTTAAAGCAAAGGCACAGTATTTTAACTAATGAGGTTCACACAAACATCTTGAATTTTCTGATACAAAGAAATAATCAAGGTGTCTTTGCTTTCAGTGCACTGACAATGAGCTGGGACTCTCAGTGTCTCTGGACAGCATGTCTGTATGGATTTATTTTACCCTGTTATTTTATATAGCCTGTTATTTGTGCCTTCAGGTGGCAATAAAAGGCCTTCTTTACTTCCCCTTCTTTTTGCTCAGTTTAGCTTTCCCTGCTAAGTGCCAGAATACTTCATGCTTTGGATGAAGCGTAACCACTTGAATTCAAATAGGATGAACAAAAAGTGTCATTGCAATCAGATAGTCGTTACCCAATCTCATTGGTTGCAAACAGACCAGGTCAAGACACCTGGAACTGAGAAGTCTGATGTTGATTTAATATTTATAATGGTTTGAAAGTCATATCATATAAAAACTGTGGGGTTGAAGCTTGTCAAACAGCCATACTCTGGCTGCACAGCAGAGCACAGCAGAATGTCACTCAAGCACTTGTGCTGAGTAAACCAGTGGAACTTTCTAATATTAGCTGCCTGCTGAAATGGGTACTTCAAATACACTCTTCCCTACAGTCTGCCTGCTCCTGTGTCTGCTCCATGCACTTGCTGGGTAGGCAGCAAACTGAGGGCCCACCTCCTGTTCCACTTGACTGGTTTCTGTGTTGCTGAGGGTCTCCTTCTGTTATTGTGAATAATTGATGCAAAATGGTTACTGTCCGTGCCTCTGTAGCCCCATACTCAGATTTAGGAGCTGTGTCCTTGACAAGAGGAGGACTTGACTTGCTGTTCAGTACTTCTTCTCCTAACAGAACAGGCATAAAGGGAACAGACATATTGTTACCATAAGGATACCCTTCTGATTCAATATTCTACCAGAAAACTGTTGGTTTGATCTCTTCAGAAATCATGTCAGAAAAATTCATAGGGAGAAATCTGCTGGTTATCATTTTTAGTAGAAAGCACCTAGTGAAATGCTGGAGGGCCAGTGCTGCTGGTGAGTTTCTGCAGAGCCCCAAGTGAAGGCTCATCCAGTAGCAGCCCTGAGGTGGAGTGACATCCTGCCTCTCAGTGAGTCCTTGTGCAAATTGTGGGGTTCATTCTGGTCTCACCCTCACTGGAGTGAATTGTCTTTGTTGAAAGTTAAGAGAATAAATCTGGTGTTAAATTAAAGGTAAAACCAGAATCAGGACATCACTGTGTGAGAGGCTGTACAGCTTGGTTATATTTTTTCAATTTTTGCTATAAATTGCGTTGTTGATTTCCATATCTCTTACTTCTTGTGGTGTGAAGAATTAACAATTTTTCCCACAAGGGAAATTTATAAAATGTTTCTAATATTCTGAAACCTTTGGAATGCAATCAACCTTTCTCTGCCAATCAATTTCAGCATCTGCTTCTGTCTTAAGTAAGATCAGCAGATGTTTCCATGGATTTTTACTTCACACACTAAGGAGGAATTAAATTTGGCAACTGTAGCTGAGATTCACAGTGATTCACAGCATTAACTGGACAGTGATGTTTTTCTGGAGAAATAACAAGTCCATAGGGACTGGGTTAATTGCTGTTTTTTCAGTGCAATAACTCAGTGTGATCCCTCCTCAGTTCTGCATTATGGTAAATGTGAGTCCTGGAACTAATCAGTATTATCTTTTCATGTGGCATTTGGGGCTTTGTTAGTGGTTATTTGTCTGGAATGATTGCATTTGTTGACACTAATTTATAATTAAATTATTATTTAAGAAAGGAAGAGCAGTCTGATTACCTTCATCTTGGTGCTCTTGATGGGTTTTTGCATTTGCACCTATAAAAAAAGCCATTTGATAAAGCTCATTGAATGGTAACTGATGTTTTTTATAAACCTCAAGTGCCATTGTAATTTGGGAGAGATTAATTATGTGTGTGTCTGCTTCTTACAGAGTGCAAAGTCTGGCGAAATCCCTTAAATCTGTTCAGAGGAGCTGAATATAATCGGTAGGTGCTACAAAATTAAGTTTTCAGGCATAGTACTGCCTTAAGGAGCTTAACTGTACTTTTCCATTAATCTAACTTAAGAGATGAAAAAAACAAACTGTAGATAAATGCACTTATGTCAGGTTTTTCTGTAATTCATACAATGTTCTTGAATTTAAAAGAATTTAAATTCATGCTGATGAACTTTCTTATTTCTCTAATATTTGCTATTTCTCCAATTTTTGGCAACCTTATAAAAAAGATGGAGTAACCTAAGTGTGTTGTGCCTGGCGCTAATGCAGCATTTCTGTTCAGATCCATTCCAGCAAAAAACCTAATGATTTCCATATAGGTTTCATTGAGTCCTAATGTTTGAATATATCTGTTACCAAGTTCCAGTGTGTACTTTTCAGCATCCTCATTAGCTTAGGCTCAGCTGCCATTGCTCCATCCCAGTGTGGTGAAATGCAATGTATATCGGTTAGAAGATTGGCCAGGTGAACTTACTTGGCTATGCCTATCTCAGAGGCCTGGGATTCTTTTCTGGATTTGTTTTGCCAGTGTGACCTCATTAACCAGAATGTCTCCTTGTTGGCACGTTTGCAGGTACACATGGGTAACAGGAAGAGAACCTTTGACTTACTACGATATGAATCTTTCGGCACAGGACCATCAGACATTCTTTACCTGTGACACAGATCATTTACGGCCTGCAGATGCTAGTAAGAGACCTTGGGAACAATTGCATTAATAATAGATTCATGGCTGATTTAAACTGATGCAAGACAAATGCAGTGAGACATCACCTCTTTCATGTAGATAAGAAAAGGCAAAATTTTGATAATGAATTTATAGAATTCTAGGTCTGAACAAGTATCTATATATGTACATGATCTAATTTGTGTTGCTGTGTTGTTCTGCTGTGTTGCTGGAGTCATTCAAGGTGCCATTTAAAAGTGTAAAGGCTTGTTCCTTTCGTCCTCTTTCTTGCAGTGGCTTCAAACATACACATCTTAATTTGCCTCCAGCTGCAGTGCAGTAGGTTGAGTTACATTATCCAGGTTTCATTTGGTCTACACTGACAGAAGAGAGAGAGCTGATGTAAAATTTGAGACCTGTGTTTGATTCCCTGATGCAGTTAGGTCTGTAAAAATTTGGGAACAGCACATTTACAACTGAATTTGTATAAGCAGCTTTAGTTGTGTTAAGCCGGTGTTGTGAAGTCCATATGCAGACTTTCATTCTACTAAAAATATACAACAATGATTTCAGTCATTAGAATTTGCCTCTGAAGAGATAAATATTTGTCTCTTAGGAAAGGAGAGATACTAACAGTTGGGTGCTCCATTCTGAAGGCATAGTTACATAGGAGAGCATATTGTGGTTTTTTGGCACATGATAAATATGAATCCTATTTTCTGAACTCAGTGGTGTAATTATGAGGTGGTAATATTAGCCTGGAAGTTGTTTCCATTTAGCATTCACATAAATGAACAGCTCAATAAGGAGCTGGAATAAGAACGCCAACTATCCCTTTATTGTTTTGTTCCCTGTGGAATCTACTACATCAAGAGGAGGTAGCTGCTTGTCACCTCTGTACTTGGCAATGCAGACAGCCTGATCTCTCAGCCAGACTTTCTCCTAGAAAAAAGTTTAATTAAATGAAAGAAGAAAAAACACTGAGTATTTGGGACAAAAGCTCCTGTTTGTTATGTGTCTTTTTGAATGATCACTGAGCTATATGAAATGCTCTGTAGTGAGTTAGGCTGAGATCAATTAATTATTTTGTTACAGTGCAGTGGATTCTCCTTGTTAATCCTTTAATAACTGATATTTCTTTCTCTTCCTTTGTTTATTGAATAGTAATGCAAAAAGCCTGGAGAGAGAGAAACCCTCAAGCCCGAATTTCTGCAGCACATGAAGCTTTGGAATTGAATGAGTGAGTGACAACAACATTAACATTTATTTCCTGTCTTTTAAAAAACCATTTGATGATATTTTAAGGCTGGAGGTTTGCTGTAGTAATTTTTAACCACAATTACAGGCCCGTCAAAGGAAGGCCTACAACAGAAGGAAACCAGAACAGCTGCATGTTGTGCTAGCTACCCAGAAGATCCTTAGGGTAGTGATGACAGTGGGAGTCTTCCCATTGATGTCAGCAGGCTTTGGAACAGCATAGAAAAATGCTAATTAATTTACCTCCTGATGAGCATATGAAATATGCATTTAAAGGATGGAGAGTTCCCTTCTGGATTTCTCAGTCATCAAGAACAGAAGCAAGAAAGAAGAAACTCATAAACACATTCTCAAAATACTCATTTCATAATATGAGAGAACATGATGTAATTTGCTGTGACTTTTGGTCCTAGAGTCTGTTATTTATTTTTTTCAATGAAAAGTTAGATTGCTAGCTTCTAGCATTCCATAAACTGGTGCTTTACAGATAATCCTTCATGTGTTTCATCAGGAGAAAAGAAGGAATTTTTTCTTCTTGTATAGTGATTTAACATGCAGCATAAAAGGGAAAAGCAAGCTATAAGCCTGTCCTACTCACATTTCACAGAACTACAGAATGGTTGAGGTTAGCAGAGATTTTTGGAGGTCAGCATGCAACCTCTCCCTTCAAAAAGGGCCACCTACAATGCCTGGCACAGACAACATGTCCAGCAGGCTTTTGAATGTCTCCAAGGAGAGAGACTTGACAACTTCCTTTGACAGCTTGTACCAGTCCTCAGTCACCTTTACAGTAAAAAAAGTGCTTCTGAGATTCAGGGAGAATCTCCTGTGTGGTTTTTTGTGCCCATTGCCTCTGGTCGTTTCACTGGGAACCACTAAAAGGAGCCTGGCATTTTCCTCTTTGCCCCCTCACTGTGGGAATTTACAAACTTTGACAAATTCCCCCCCAAAGCCTTTTCTTTTCCAGACTGAACAGTCCTAGGTCTCTCACACATTTCTCATATGTGAGATGCCCCAGTCCCTAATCACCTTCATTGGACTCTCTGCATGTCCATGTCCCCCTTGTGCTGGGGAGCCCAGAGCTGGACACAGCACATCCACGTGTGACCTCATCAGGGCTGACTAGAGGGTAAGGATCACCTCCCTCAACCTGCTGGAAACACTTCTAGTGCAGCTCTGCTGCAAGGGCACAGTGCTGTTTTGGTTTTTGCTTGGTCTGGGTTGGGTTTTCTTTGTTGTTGTTGTTTTATCTTTACAACTACATTTATAATCTGTTCTTTTTATATGGCAAGTGTTACAGTTCTGTTGATTCTTTTCATAGCTTTACAGTAAGGGATGTGGTTTATATTAAAACAATAGTGCATAAAACTAGTCTTGATTTCCAGAAGGAGTTTTAGGGATGCAGGATTAGTAAGACAGCTGCTTTACTTCCTGGGACAGTTGTCAGTAGGTGTACTCAAAGGCTGAGTGATACAGGTCCTAAAAATGAGAGTCATGGTGTTGTTGACAGAATATTTATTCATTGGAATAGTTCATCAGAAAGGTACATGGAAGTATTTCCTTGCCTCTGTATTTAGTACATCCTTTCCAGTCTGCATGTCTTCATATAGTTTTTACTTCACATACCTTTCTCATGGTTTTTCCTCTGATATTTTTGCAGGTGTGCTACTGCTTATATTCTCTTAGCTGAAGAGGAAGCAACAACAATTGTAGAGGCAGAGAAGCTGTTCAAGCAGGCTCTGAAAGCTGGAGAGGGCTGTTACAGGCGCAGCCAGCAGCTACAGCACCATGGTGCCCAATATGAAGCCCAACACAGTAAGTTTTTTAGGAGGGAGAGAACTTCCAAAGAGTTCTTTGGATTTGGGGTTTTGGGGTTTTTTGTTTTCCCTGTAAGAACTATGCACTCAGTGTTTGACATTGGCTGGAATGTGGTCCTAGAGCCAGACTATTCTGTTTTAGTGTTTTTGCTTGATTCTGTTGCTGAGATGTCAATGCTCAGATTACAGATGTGCCTTTATTTTGTCATGGCAGAAGATGCATAAGCATGTACTTAACAGAAAAGAAAAGGTATCAGAGCCAAAGAGAAATGACATTCAGAAAAAGCTGAACACCCTTTAAGGAAGTTGCCTTTTTGCAAACTGGGCTTATGTTGTGAAAAGGCATGGTGGAAACAGGAGTGAAGTGATGCTTTGCCTGCTTTTTTCCATCACCTCTGGAGTAAATGCTTACACTGTGTTGTTCTGTGTAAAAGTTAATGAGACCCATTAGCCAGTGGGACATTGGAAGTTAGTTGCATTTGTTAAGAAAGGTTGCAGAAACATAAAATTTAAAAAATTGAGTAATAAAGTGCTTTAATTGGAAGTCTAGATTTTTTATTACTTTTCTAAAAAGTTTGAATAAGCAGGTTTATCTGCTGTGCTGTTTATTAGATACTCCTTAAATCTAAGAAAATACATTCCCTGACAGTTAATGACCAAAAAGATAATAAAGCAAGCAGTCAAGGTTACTTCTAGGCTACAGTGGATACCTTAGGCAAAGATAATACAAATTAATTACATAAATACAAGCCCTAGCATACTTTTGGGCATCTTCAGGTTTCTCAGGACCTGATTTCACAGCCTCTGGCCATCCTCCATAATTTGAAGATTACTGATAAAAACTGTACATAGTAAAATTGTCTGTGATCCCTGGTTTCAAATGTGTATGCAAGTCTATACCTGAAAACCCAGTTTTCCCACGGCTTGGGGATAGTATTTAAAACATTTGTTGTTTGTAAAATCATATTTAGGATGATTTGTTCATTTTTGGTGAAAGTAAAAATAGAAAGCAGCTGAGGCCTTGAAGCAATTTTTGAGCTCTAGCAGGCTTATGGTTGTCTATGAAACCTTAATTTGCATACTCAATCCATCTTGAGTGCAACAATTCTATGAAAAGTACACAATAAGTGGTTAGTAAGTACTGTCATGATGTTTTTGTCCAAGGCAACCTGGGAAGGTTTGTGCAGACAGATACAAGTATGGTATTTCTGTAACCTGTGTGTGCTAGGTAGCTTCAGTCATCATCAGATTTGACACCCTTCAGTACTGCAGCAGAGGAAGTAACCATTGAATCACAAAGCTAAGTGCACTGTCACAGAGCAGGGAGGCTGAAAAGTGTCTGCCAGCTCTGACCATGCCTTCAGGAGGGGCCTGATCATCCCACTGTTCTGTAGCACTCAGTCTCCCCTTGAAGATGTCAGTGTGCACCCACAGAAATTAGGGAATCTGCAGCCTCAGATGTTGCCTTGGACACAGGGGCTTCACGTAGAATTCTTTTCATTGTATGCTAGACTTCTTCATGTTTACAAAGGTGGAGAGGAGGGACTGTGGGGGAGGAACATGTGCTGCAGTTCCATGGTTCTGAGAAGTCCTGCATTCCATTTCTGGTCTTCACAGTTAATTCTGGGATGAAGAGTAGGCATTTCATCTTTTAAAGGTGAAATACACTGTAATCTCTTGAACCACAACATGTTGTTTTATATTTCTGTTTCTTCACGTGTTCCACCGCCATCATAAAATATTTTGTTATACCACAAAGAGTAAATAATGACTTTGAGTACCCAACTTGCCCTCTTTCAGAAGGTGATAGCCTTTTAAAAGCAAGGGCAGTTTTATTTTTAAGGTTGCTCATGTTAGGCATCCCAAGTCATTAGTAACCTCAGAGAATTTTGGCCTGAAAAAATATCTTGATTTCATAGTAAGTGGATGCCTTTTGAGCATTCCTGCTCAAACTCCTGAAAAGAAACTTAACCTGAAATGTATACCTCATAGCACATTACACAAACATGTTGAAACAGATGTAACTAATAAATTGTGTATTAAATATATAGGAATCAATAGAGAGATAAGAAATTAGGTAATGCCGAATACAGCTAAAGAAATTCTTCTCTCCTTATTTATTTTTTCCTCTAAAGTGAATCCTTTTGACCTGCTGCCTAATCTATTGAAAATTTTAATCACACCTTTAAAACAATTTGTTAGTACTTGGAATGTTTTCAGCACACATGTTGTTCTTATTATGAAAGGCTTGCAAATGTTAGGAATAGGCTAAAATCTTAACAGAGCACATGCTATACACAAAGATAATTTGTAGCAGGTGTATTACATTTTCATGATTCAGTAATTTTATAGATTATTATCTGTCCATTCATTTCCTGTTGGTCCAGAAACATTTTAAGAGTTCACATTCTAAGTGAATGAGAAGTGAAAGGAGTGAGATTTCTCCAGGAGAATAATTATAACTGCTGTTCAGTTTCTGTCATCTTTGCTGTTAGGGAATCTTCCAGCACACAGGACTGTCATATCTGAAATATGTTAATTTGCCATCCCTAATTAGTGGTGTGAGGAATTTGAAGATGGTAATTGGGTAATGAATAAAGGCTGTAAACAAAAAGTTCAGAGTATACTTTTCTTCTAATCATTAAGAGAAAGATTTTTAGGAGGATGAGGATTTGCTTTAAAATTTCTTTTTGACAAGCATGTACATAATTGTACCTTCAGATGTGCTTATATTTCACAGTGCAAGGCCAATCCAATAAGTACTTGTAGCGCTGTATATCTTGATTATTTCCACTGATTTCAGTTCTATTATGCCACATCTAAATCTTCAGATTTTGGTAACGTTTTATTAAAATTCTTTGAAAGCATTGATGGTAGTAAGAAAAAATTGAAAAAAACCTGTGTTTCCTTTTGTGTTGGAATACTCAATGAACCTTTGTTCTATTTTAATGCTGTTTCTTTTTCCTCTTATACAGGAAGGGACACCAATGTGTTAGTATATATTAAAAGAAGGCTGGCAATGTGTGCAAGGAAGCTGGGAAGGACCAGGGAAGCAGTGAAAATGATGAGAGATGTGAGTTTGGATTTCTTTCACATGTGATATTTACATAATTATAGTATAGAAATTATACATTTTCTTGCAAGTTAGCAACCACTCCTGCTTCAGTCAGCACTGCTGGTATTTCTTTTGTATGTGTAATGTACATAAAGACAAAGTTAAGTGATCATTTATTTATAGGGTTATGAAAGCAAGATCAAATGTCACATGGGTGGTTACTCATGCAGCCTGAACTTCCCATTCTGGTACATGTGCAATGAAGTGCAGTCTTTAATTATTTGATCATGAAGTTAGTAATGTTTTTTTGTCTGAGCCATGTGGTGAATGCTGCTAACTTCATAAGCAGGTCTTAAGTAGTCTGTTTTCTCCTTCAAAGCTGCAGTTTGGCTCTGTGCATTGTTTGTGTCACACTGTGCAGCTCTAGGGTGTTAATTATTCATGCAAAACCTATCACTGAAAAGTCAAACCCCAAGTTATGAATCTGTAATTAATTGAACCCCCTCTGAGATGGAGGCTGACTGTATTGTGTCTTTGTAGGCAGGGGAGCACCAGTGGTAGTTATAAGCTAAAAGCTACAGACTTGAAACACTGAACATAGCTATTTTGGAGATGGCAGAAGGGGCAGCTGTTCACATTAGGCAGTGTATGTGTTTCAAATATGTAAAATGCTCCAGTTTTTCAATGTAGCAGTGAATGCCCAGAATTTCTTTCAGTGATATTGCCAGGATGCAGATTAGGAGCCCAGTTCTTTGAGGAGGTGACTTATATCACCTGAGGTAGCAAGTCTGTGGCAGAAGTAGGAATGGAACCTCTGGGCAAATGATGGTAAAACTCCCAGTTTCCTTTGTTTCTTACCCTTCATATTCCAGCTCCCACAAAAAAATGGAAGAGATGAATCCAGCAAGATGCATAGTTCTGCAAATTGAGATGCAGGTGTTAAATTTTAAATGCACAAAATTAAATCCCAGACTGGAATGAAGCACCTGTAAAGTGTGCTTTAGGCAGCTCAGATGAATACTCCAGGAAGCTGCCTAGTGAAAAGGGAAATTCTTGTTACATGTCAGTGGAAATTTTAATGTAAAAAGGAAAGTGACTTTCTTGGAGCTGAGGCACTTGCATCAGGGGCAGTAGGGCAAGTGTGCTTGCCAGCTTGGAATCCAGGCCTTGACATCTCTTGAAACTGGAGCACTCATAAGCATTTTTTGAAAACACTGAGCAGAGTTCACAATAATAATGGAGGTTCTCATCCTAAGTATCTACAGATGCCAAGTGGTGAGTAACTTTGTTTTCTGACTCTTGCTGGAGCTCTTCAGGCACACAACTCTCAGTCTCCAGAACCACTAGAATCCCAGACAGAGTTGTTGAAAAAGAGCTTGTCAGAAAAACAGCCATTGTACAGCTAGGAGTGTGAGAAAGAGGGATGAGGAAGAAAGACCTGTTTTAGCAGGCTTCTGGTCAGCTGGGAGAAGGTCAATTTCAAAAACATTGCTTTCAGTCCAGCCAGCTCCACTGATGCTTCATGAATTTTGTTACACAAGCACTGTGGGACAAATACTGAAATGTTTCTGGGACAGACATTGGAATTCTAAGTTCTGGCATTAATACACAAGAAAGATAAAATTTTGAATTTCCCCTTCAGATATCACACATCATAATTATGGCAAATTCTGGAGCTTACTATGGGCTGCTAAATGTGTTTTGAGATTTGTAGATAGTGCTGTGGGGAACAGATACTCTGTGAAGCATTCTTCTGCTGATGTCAATATGTATGGATAGCTGTGTATGCAGAGCACTTGGTCTGGGGACTTGGGTGGTCTGTCTAGTCCTAGATTTCTTATGCAAAGTGAGAAACAGAGCTTTGATTAGTGAAGGACTTATTTTTTCACTAGAGATAAAACTGAAATTTATAAGCAAAATAGAAAATTATTGCAATTAAGTACAACGTGGATTTCCAGAGGCAGCAATAACAGGGAGACAGAGTCATCAGCTATTAGACACTTAAAAACAAAAAACACTCTTCAACAGGAATGTTTTGTTAAAATAAAAGGACTGGATGCAAGACAGAGGAGGTATAAAGATGGAATTTCATCTTAGGGAGTTTCAACTCAGATCAATGCATTCTGTGTTTTTCCACATAGAGACGCTGAGCCAAATTCTCAGAACTGAATTAGATACCTTTACAGCTCTTCTTTTTAAGCAAGCAGAGCTGAGAATTAGCAAGTCTGTGGATGAAATATTAAAGCAGCAGTAACTCTAGGTCACAGCTCCAGTATGCTGGGAGCAAAATCAGGGTCAAGTCAGTTTTGCAGATGCTTCTCCCAGACTGGCTTGGAGCTACTTACTTCTGATGAATGCATATCCTCCATTTCTTCATAGAAGACATAAATAGTACACTTATGGAGAGGTTTGAAGAACATGAATCTGTCATTGAAGGTTTCTGTGTGATTGATGAGGAAGGAGATGAATTTATTAATCCTAAAAAGAATATGAAGAATATGTTGGCTGGGGACTGCTGAATCTAACATCAGGGAACACAGGGTGGAGGCCCTGTTTGTGTTTGAAAGATTGAAAACAGGTTTCTCAAGACATGGAACACGATGGAAATGAAGTGTTAAGAGGTTCATGACACCATCTGGGAAATATGATTGGGATGTAGTGAGTCTTTGCCACTTCGAAAAAATAAAATATTTGAGAGTGTTTAATTTATTGCATATATGAGGCCATCTTGAGGACATTACTGACGGATTAGATGGTCTTGCTTGAATTTTTTGTAGGAAAAGGCTGAGATCCTACTTAAAGCACCTTAATGGAAGGAAAATGAGCTGTTGGTGACTTAAATAAGAGTTTTATTTTATGGTTATATACACTGTTGATAGGAAAATCATATTTCTTAATATAATATTGAATTATATAATAATTTTAAAAGCAGAGGCTTTTTAAAAAACTGTTTAAAATCAAGGGTGCTTTAATTTTAAAAAACTGGGTAGGAATTTCTGTTGATTCTGTGGTTGATTTTGAGACAGTATTTTTTTGCTGGCTTTGCTGCTTGGACATAATTCATTCAGTTGAATTAATGGGAATTGCAAACCTGTAGTTTCCATGGAAGCATGTAATGGAATCATACATAGGTGTTGCTTTTGCTTGTATTTCTGATGATAATTATTTACTATATTTTGCTATAGAAACCAGCAGCTGTCACTATTTGTATATATTGAGTTAACTTGTGATCTCATTTTGATTAGTGTGTTGTTGGAATAACTCCAATGTAGTCAACAGAATTATTCCAGTTTTATTATTGTTTTTACAGAGCATGATACGGTCTGTGAGGGAACTAGGTTGCTTTTACTGTCCCTGAGGAGAAAGTCTACAGTGCTCATTGTTTTATTTGTTGTGCTGATTATGTTGGGAGGATTTTAAGTAGTGTGTTCTAAATGATGTTGGAGGATTTAGTATGTGCAGAGGGGAAAGGCCATAATGGTGGCTGTGAGTAATCTTTAGTATCCCTTGTGTTGAATCTTCCAAGCCAGTAGTGGTGATGAGCAAGGGTAGCTTTTTGTGCCACCTGCTTTCCGTCTTCTCTTTTCAGAATCCCTCAGCATTACAATGGAAGAAAACAGGAATGTGCTAAGTTTGCATCTTGTGTTTTTCATTGATGGAAAACAGAGGATGGGGAGGGTATGCAAAGGCATTTCCCTCTCTGCTTTTTGGGTGACTGAATCAGTGACTGCACCACTGAATTCAGGAGCAGGCCAGCACAGTCATTTTTCTTAACTGGGTCACTGGAGTATCCAGATGAAAATGTACCATGCAGGAAAATGAATTGTCAAAGTAATTGGAGCTTCTTGGGATTGTTCTGGAGGACATTTGGCGAAACAAGCTTTAATTGAAGGGAGATGTATGTTTATGAAAGAGAAGAGTGGCAGGCAAAAGGTATGCTATTGGACAAAGCAAGTGGAAGTTGTTAATTGCTTCCTCCTTCAGAGAGAAGATGAAAGAAACTCATTCTAGAGTGTATTTATCTCCTGCCCCATGGGCATGCATTCCCTCAAAGATTGCTTTGTGTTCTTATTAAGTACATATTTCTGAGACAGTGGAATTGCAGCTTGCTCTATGCTCAGCAACTTTGTTCAGAATTGAGTGAGGTTTAGGGAGAGAAGAGAGTCTCCAGGTCTTCCTTAAGTCTGGAGAAGGAAAGAATGACAAACACTTTTTCAGGGTCAGAAAAGTGTATTTTATTTCTAGTATCAGTCATATCTGCTGAGAAATTACTCTTTAGACCACTATAAAGGACCTAGAAGTCTGCTTTTACATATTTAGCTCTGAGAACCTTGCTGAGGATATTTCAGTTTAATGTGTTTTTGTGTTCATCTTGGTGCTCACCTGTAGTCACTATTTTATGCCACAGAGGACACCTAAGCAGCTTGTATTGTCAAGGGTGCTGCATGCTTATTCATTGGCTGCATGAGAAGTTTTGTAAATAGTTGGGCTGCCCTAAGCATCTGAAATAGTTTTAAGAGGATTTGTCACTTGAAGGGTTTGAAAGGGTACTCAACCACACTAAATCAATTTTAATGATATGGGCAGGCTGGGTTTTTATCTTCTTCTGATCAGTTGTATTAATGATTTTTGCTGGTATGATCATTCTGCAAATCTAGCATACTTTCTTGGCAACTTCTTTTACTGAGCTTTGAATAAGGATTTCTATTCAAGATTCTGTTGAATTCTCTATTCTTGTGTGCACTGCTGATTACTTTTTGAGTAAGACATATATGTAGCCAGAACAGTGTTCTGCACCTTGAATTACCAAGTTGTGTGAAACAAAGGGAGTACTTATTCCTAATAAGGATGTTGTGATCCCTAGCAACTTAACAACACAATTTCTGTGCGACAGCTACTGACTGTGTCTCCCAAATGCTTCTGTGCTTGAGGCAAGGATTAGTGAGTCAGACTCCTTGACTTGTGTTACACAGGTCAGGTTAGGCAGGCTGGGCTGCTGTGAGTGGGATTCTAGTTTT